CTTCTCATGCTCCTTCTTCCTGATGTTGCTGTCACTTGGCACTGCTACATCTATCACTACCCCTGTCTTCTGGTCTTTGTCTACTGTCTATCACTATCGCTGTCTTCTGGCCTTTGTCTACTAGACAAAGACCAGAATATATAACATTACATTTTGATATATTTTTTATGTTTTCTAATTGACTGTACCCCACCCTTCTTAAGCTGGTCTTTGGCCATAATAATGATTTGATTTGATGCTCAGAAGCAACTGGAGTGGATTATCTCCTCTTAGAACTCAGTGTAGATTTTCTGGTTCAAAAATAGAATCCCCCTCTTGAATAGAGAGAGAGAAGATCCTCTTGACATTCTTATCTGAAATATGGGTTGATGTTAATTAATGACATTGGATTATGCAGAAGTGGGAGGAAGAGATTGAAGGTTGGAGTCGTCTCCTCTAGTTTATTTCTCCTACAATGCTCTTGTTTCTCATGCTATTGTTACCCGCTGTTATCCTTAGTTATTACCCGTTGTATGCTGATAGCAGTGAGAGAGTATGCTTACATCTGTTCCCTATAGCTGTACTGAGATATTCTTTCTTTTGTGTACCAAAGATAAAACACAAGAAGGGGTCAATCCATCCAGTAAACTTTCAGTTGAAAATGTCAATGTGCACCACTTCATTATTGTCTCAAGGAATAAATCATAAAAGGATTCAAACCTTTGAATAACTTTGACCTGCATAATGCACGTACATCATCAAGGGCAAACAAGCGAGGAAAATTTTTTAGGACATGGAACGATTGAACCTGCTGATGTGTCACATCATCTTAAAGGCACGGATCATGGTAGGGACAGTTTTATTTCAGAAGGTGATTAGGTTTCAGCGAAGCCCTCACTATTAATGATTTATAGGTAGGTATTTATTTTTTAATTAGTTAATTAGTTACAATTTTGATTTATAAGACCACCCTGACTCAAACCCAACTCTGAGTGGTGTAGTATTCAAACCAGTCAAAACCTTTTCAAAAAGCAAACAAAATAAACAGAAAAGGGCATCACGTAATGGGGAAACACATATCACAGCCAAAACAAACCATGATCATCACCCAACCCTTGGAGGAAAAGCCAAGTTTTAAAGAATTGCTAAAGGTTTGCAAGGTCAGGGCAGTCTAAACTTCCAGAGGGCTGAAGTTCTAGGCACGCTTCCTAGGGACCTGACGCTGCTTAATGGATGGGATGTGAGGTGCATCCACCCTGCTGGATCTTATGGGGCAGGCAGAAATTATGAGAGAGGGAGAGAGATGGAGAAGGAGAGAGAGGAGGTCCCTCAGATGGCCAGTTAGACCCTGTGCCATGAAGGACTTTATGGGTGATAACCAGCACCTTGAATTGCACTTAGAAGCTCACCTTGCAGCTTGCTAGCAGAGTGTGTTACAAGGGCATACAGAGCTGTGCCCACAGCTGATCGCACTGCTGCATTCTGGAGCAGCTGTTCTTGTTTGTTTGCTTGCTTTGGATTCTGTGTTTTGTATTAATTAAATTTGTACCCCTGCATTGGGCTTACTGTGTGCTCCATATGGGAGAGAAGGCTTCT